ATTCTAACACAAGATTAATACAAGAAAACAACTGATGTCAAGGTACACTTTTCAGAATCAACATTATCTTCTAACCTTGAAACAGAACAAACTAGAGCAGACTTTGAATCTTACTAAACTACATTACTAACACATTAAAGTCTAACACATTCATGTCTCATAATTATCTGACTGATTTATTCATTTCTAGCAGTGATATGACCAGGTTATATGACCAGTAGCGCTGGCCGATGCAACCAAGCCTGGTTTAGATTTGATATCAAGAAAAAACTAGAATTACTGCTTTGCGTGTGTATCCCTCTGCCAACAGTCACATTCATGTGAATGGGGGATACATGAGTCACAGTTTTACCATTGACCCCCAATCAGTTCAATTTTGAGTCCAAATGGACAATTGTGCTTAATCGGAACAAACTCCATCAAGGTGTTCCTGAGATATCGTGTTCGCAAGAATGGGCCAAAAGCATAACGCCTCCGGCCATAGCTATCACCGGTGCAGCGGAATAACAAGAGCCAGAATTAAATGTAAGTACTTTTGTATTATTAAAAGAAGCTAATGTCATATCAGGTCACATCAGGTATGGTTCTTAGCCTTTTTACTAGGGATGTAACGAGATTTGTAATTCCGCAATAGAAAAATGTCTTGATACGTTTGGGGCTGTGTGACTATCTACCATTATATTACATATGGTTATTTACAGTGCTGTCCGATATTCACTGGGAGCTACTCATCTGACGTGTACTGTACATACCCCGACAAAAGCAATTTGTAGTGGTAAGGGTATGGTGGATGGTGTTTCCCCACCCAGGTTCAAATCCATGGGTCTTTCTTCTCACTTTATCCAACATTCAAAATGTGACTTGATATGTAAAATCGTTAGTGTGTGTAAACACATTTTCTCACACTCACTGAACAAATCAGAGAGGCTGCATAACTTAATGGCCACAGAGAGACATTCACTAGAGGTAGACTGTTTGCTCACTCTGTTTTACACAGCTTCACCAAGTATGTGCAACGTTGAGAATGTGGCTAAATAAGTCTTGTGTATGACACATTTCCTCAAACAACACAAATCCAAATTTGTGTTTTGACAATTTCATGACATCATTTACGAGAACAGCTACAGGTCCTCTTCCTGTTCTCAGTCTGTTTTCAACAGCTGGCATATCTATGAGCAACCACTGACGCTTACTGATGAAAGTCACCAGTTAACAGGGGAACTTGTTAATCTTCAACACCGGCAGTAACCTCAGGCGCTGTATTTTTCTCCACATCCTCTGGTCACAGTGCAGCAGCAGGAAGGAAAATATATCCATAAAACCAGGCCCAGTCAAAAAAATTCCTCTTTTGCAATGGCACCGGTGGATGTCAGGCAAGATCACATGAACGTGCAATGGTCTGGAGATTATGACCATTCAAGGAAATCCTTAAATTATCACGTAATGTATAATGTAATGCATTATAGCTTGGTGTTAATCAGTCGTCTCTCACTCGTCTTCAAATGGTCCACAATGCAGGTACCAGGAAATTTGTTTATATAACCCCGGTACTGGCCTCTCTTCACTGGCTTCCAGTCTGTTTTAGAATTCATTTTAAGCTATTGATTTTTGTTTTTAAGGCTCTTAATGGTTTGGCACCGCCCTACCTCGCTGAGTTGGTGAGGTGGCACGAACCGACTAGATTACTCAAATCCTCATGCCAGTTTCTTTTAGAGGCTCCCAGGGCCAGATACAAACACTGGGGTGACCATGCTTTTACTGTTGCAGCTCCTAAACTGTTGAATGGTTTAACTCTTAATGTTAGATCATCTACAGACTTGACAACTTTTAAATCATTGGTTAAAACATATTTATTCACTTTGGCTTTTAATACATAGTAATGTCTGATGCTTCCTTCTTTTAACTGTTGATTCTGTGTAGTTCCTATGTTTTATTCCTCTACTGCTATTATTTATTTTAGTTCTTACCTTGCCCTTGTAAAATATTTTGGTCAACCAGAGATTGTTTTTAAAATGCTATATAAATTAATTTTGATTTGATTTGGTAAGACTTTACATAGCTGGAAAAAAGAGTCTCACCAGCAAGACTTTGTGAGACTTGTAAAAACCAAGTTTCTTCTGCATGGAAGTACAACAACATAGGTACACCTCGGTTTCTGAGCTTTCAGTCAAGTCTAAAATGATAATTCACCGTTGTAACATTGCAGAAAAGAATGAGCCATGGGCTCTTGAAAGATAAAACCATAGTCACATGAAATATTAGATTTTTTAAAATTTTATTTAATGGCTATTCAAATATTTGATATATATATATATACATATATATTTTTTTTCCTTTCCTGTTTTATTAGTTCTTTCCAGTGGGCTTAACGTTGGTTGCCAAGAATTGTTTTTCCATGTTTCATCCATGTTTTTCTTCTCCTCACTCTGTGTAGAGTGCCATCACCAAGCTCCTTGTGAACCCAAGATAACTGTACCCTATTGTGTAGATATAGACTTTCGTTTGGTTTTCATTCATCAGATTAGATATTTAGAGAGCATTAGACTGCTAAATTTAGAAGGGCGACAGCAGAGAGAGAGGGACTCACATACATTAGCGAGTAGTGAGTCCTCATTTGTTACACTAGTATAACTGTGTTCAGGTCCCAGGATTTGAAAGTGACATAACAGATGCTGCATGTCAACTTTTAGAGCTGTTGTGTGGCAGCTCTTCAGTTTTCCCATTTCAAGAAGTGACACGGGCAGAAAGGACACTGACAATTTGCAAATACTGCTGAAGGCAATGCTAGCCCCATTTAGGACTGAGACACATCTGGATATGTAGAAACAGTTGGTGCACAGTTGTGCGCTACATTGTAATGGAGATGGACAAACAAACTAGATGCACATACACAAAACCATCCACCTAGTAACCACCTTTAAATTCTTTTCTCTTGAAAAAGAAGACCACGGTGTCGAACTACAAATGTCACCTTTATGTTGCTTGTCCTAGTTTGACAACTTCTTCTCCTTGTTTTAGTGCCAAGCAGCAATTTGCTCACCACTGCCCCCAGTGTTCGTGATGGTACCCGCTTCAACCGGTACAGTACTAAGAACCCGACCAATACTGATTTATTATTTAGTAAAGGCCATTTTAAATCATATTTCCTGATTTTTAAAATTGTGACAAATAATGTATTGGACTTTTTATCGTGGCCATATTGTACCATGGCTTTTTAGTTCACCAAAATAAAGTTTCAGATAAAGAAGTGAAGGATCATGTCACCCAGTGCAACACTATAGGCTCACTGTTGTATTTTTAATAGTTTGGCATAACAATGGGTCGACAGTATCATGTCAGTATCAGTCACACAATACTTGACAGCAGAATACATTCATTGTTATTAATGTGATTACTTCACATAATGGAAAATATAGAATATCACCAGATTTGTTTGGAAGTACAAAGGCATGTGTGTTGGCAGCAGAGAGAGAGAGAGATGATGAAGACAGTTTAGATAAGTGGTGGAGGAAAACAAGAAGACGGCCAGAGGCAGAGCTAGTCCTGACGTGCAGCTTTGTACATACCTACCTTTCACCTTTCCCACCCTTCTCCCTTTCTCCCTCCTGAGGCCCTCATTCATTGACAGTGTGTTTCACCCCACCATCCAATCAGCAGTTTGTCTCAGATTAACGGCCTCTGACTCGTCTCTGCATTTGATTCCCCGCTGACTCACAGCATCACTTCCTCCACCCACTGTTTCCACGCGTAGGCTCATCAGGATGAAATGTCAGGTCAGAAACACAGATGGAAATAAGGAAAACAGCAGCGACCAGAGGAAGTTTAGTTGTGGTTTGTGTTTTTTGCAAAGCACCAGACTTCATTCAACTTTTATTCAAATTAACCCCAGAAGGATTTGTATCTCTACAGCATCTTTTTCAGATTTAATCTCATTTATTTCCTAATTGTAACTTATTGGTGTGTATGTATGTATTACTCGTGTTGTGGGGACATAAATCTGTCACACTGTGGGAAATCGACTTCAAGCAGGTCCACCCCACCGAGGCTTGGGTTAGGGTTAGTCAGTTAGTGGTTTTGCCAGGTTAAGTCTCCAGAAAATGAATGTAATCCTCTGAAGTGATGTGTGTTTGTGCAGGTCCTCGGCCGGGTGCTGCTGCTCCAGCTGATCGATGACCTGGTGCGTGGTTATCGTAACAATGAAACATGGTCGTTGCAGTTGCTGAAGAGCACCCGCATCCACATCCTCCCCACGATGAACCCAGACGGCTTCGATGAAGCAGACACAGACTGCCAGTACACTCAGGGCAGGTACAGACACATACATTATATGACCAGTTTTGTTCAGTTTAATTCAGTGTTGACAGAAAAAACAAAAAACATAAAGATATAAAACTGTAATTTTTTTGTGAAGAATCAACAACAAGTGGGACACAATCATGAAGTGGAATGAAATTTATTGGATATTTCAAACTTTTTTAACAAATAAAAAACTGAAAAATTGGGCGTGCAAAATTATTCAGCCCCCTTAAGTTAATACTTTGTAGCGCCACCTTTTGCTGCGATTACAGCTGTAAGTCGCTTGGGGTATGTCTATCAGTTTTGCACATCGAGAGACTGAAATTTTTGCCCATTCCTCCTTGCAAAACAGCTCGAGCTCAGTGAGGTTGGATGGAGAGCGTTTGTGAACAGCAGTTTTCAGTTCTTTCCACAGATTCTTGATTGGATTCAGGTCTGGACTTTGACTTGGCCATTCTAACACCTGGATATGTTTATTTGTGAACCATTCCATTGTAGATTTTGCTTTATGTTTTGGATCATTGTCTTGTTGGAAGACAAATCTCCGTCCCAGTCTCAGGTCTTTTGCAGACTCCATCAGGTTTCCTTCCAGAATGGTCCTGTATTTGGCTCCATCCCTCTTCCCATCAATTTTAACCATCTTCCCTGTCCCTGCTGAAGAAAAGCAGGCCCAAACCATGATGCTGCCACCACCATGTTTGACAGTGGGGATGGTGTGTTCAGGGTGATGAGCTGTGTTGCTTTTACGCCAAACATAACGTTTTGCATTGTTGCCAAAAAGTTCGATTTTGGTTTCATCTGACCAGAGCACCTTCTTCCACATGTTTGGTGTGTCTCCCAGGTGGCTTGTGGCAAACTTTAAACGACACTTTTTATGGATATCTTTAAGAAATGGCTTTCTTCTTGCACCTCTTCCATAAAGGCCAGATTTGTGCAGTATACGACTGATTGTTGTCCTATGGACAGAGTCTCCCACCTCAGCTGTAGATCTCTGCAGTTCATCCAGAGTGATCATGGGCCTCTTGGCTGCATCTCTGATCAGTCTTCTCCTTGTGTGAGCTGAAAGTTTAGAGGGACGGCCAGGTCTTGGTAGATTTGCAGTGGTCTGATACTCCTTCCATTTTCCATTTCAATATTATCGCTTGCACAGTGCTCCTTGGGATGTTTAAAGCTTGGGAAATCTTTTTGTATCCAAATCCGGCTTTAAACTTCTCCACAACAGTATCTTGGACCTGCCTGGTGTGTTCCTTGTTCTTCATGATGCTCTCTGTGCTTTAAACGGACCTCTGAGACTATCACAGTGCAGGTGCATTTATACGGAGACTTGATTCCACACAGGTGGATTCTATTTATCATCATTAGTCATTTAGGTCAACATTGGATCATTCAGAGATCCTCACTGAACTTCTGGAGAGAGTTTGCTGCACTGAAAGTAAAGGGGCTGAATAATTTTGCACGCCCAATTTTTCAGTTTTTTATTTGTTAAAAAAGTTTGAAATATCCAATAAATTTCGTTCCACTTCATGATTGTGTCCCACTTGTTGTTGATTCTTCACAACAACTTACAGTTTTATATCTTTATGTTTGAAGCCTGAAATGTGGCAAAAGGTCGCAAAGTTCAAGGGGGCCGAATACTTTCGCAAGGCACTGTATTTTATATACATTTATATACATTTTTCAAAGGGAAATTGATTTATTATTTAGTAAGAGGCTTTTCTTTTCTTTTTTTAAATATATTTTATTATTGTATTCTGAACTTTTTATCATGATAAATATCATGCTGTCACTTTTAGGTATTGTTACATCCCAAAAATATACTGGTAGTAAGCCTCTGAATGTAATATACGTATCAGGAACCCCGGTATAGGTTCTGTGTGGGCGTGAGAGTGCAGCCTGGTCTACAGGGTCATCAGGTGAGAAAAATGATCCAGAGACCCTCTCAGCAGCTTGTCTTGTGATGTTCAGACGGCAGAGATGTATGTTTTATGGATGTGGGTAAAGCCATGTTACACTGACTTACCTGCGCTGCCATGTTGGTAGTTTTCTTTAATGGGAATTGTAGTTTTTCAGATGCTAAAACTAAATTGTGGATTAACTTTTTTAGTCACAAAGTTTCACACTTTTGGCTGCAGTGGCTTTTCTTTTGTCCGTGCTGTTTTTTCACAAAGACCAAGGGGAAAAATTGCTGAATGAGAGATTGCTTTGCATTACTGAAGCTAGAGGAACGAAGCTATACCCCAGTGAGACATGATGACTTTGGATCTCTATTTTAACTGCTTTAGCTTTATCCTTATTATTTCAGCTTCAGGGCAGCATGGTGGCGCAGTGGTTAGCAACATTGCCTCACAGTGAGAAGGGTTCGGGCCCCACCTGGGACCTTTCTGTGTGGAGTTTGCATGTTCTCCCCGTGCTTGCTTGGGTTCTCTCCGGGTACTCCGGCTTCCTCCCACAGTCCAAAGACATGCAGCTTGATTGGTGTCTCTAAATTGCCTATAGGAGTGCATGTGCGTGTGTGTGGTTGTTCCTCTATGTGTTAGCCCTGCGATTGATTGGCGACCTGTCCAGGGTGTACCGCGCCTTTGCCCGATTGCCGGCCGGGATTGGCTCCACAACCCCGGTCAGGGACAAGCGGGAGAAAATGAATGAATGACTTTCAAGG